CGGTTGTTCCATCCGGACCAAGGTATGCAGGTCTCTGCATGTCCACTCAAAGGGAGTGGTTGAGTTAGAAAACCGTAGTTATCTCAAACATCGTCTTAAAAATTCTTAGTTGCCTACGCACATCCATCCAAGCATTTTTCACTACATTTGCAAGCTCTTGTGCCTCCTCCATGCAGTGAGGAAATGAGGAAATGATTTCTCGGGTTAGGTGTTGCAGCGGAATGCGCAGGCATTGGCAAATGTAGTCCTCCAATTTTGCCGTTGCAATTTCTGCAACTTTCTCAGAGTTAGACCGCAGGAAACGAAGAGGTAAAATAACTCTGAGAATTACAAGGAATGCACCCGCCATTTGAACTCCTATATCGCCTGCTTCAGATCACCAATGTCACAAGTTCGTAAAGACACTAGGTGGGATATGTATATATTGCATAGCAAGCTCCTTAATTGCGCGTCATATTTAAATAGAGTGGTCTTCATATCGTACCACTGCATATTTCGTAGTTGCAGAGGAGGCGGGGCTAGTAATAGAGTTACATTCGCCGCCCCTGGCTACCCTAAGCAATAAAAGTGATTTTTTAAGAAGTATGGTCTTTTTTTACAAACCCTAGTCAACGGCAATTTCATAGACAAAAATAAGACGGTTTGTAGCATGAGGGAAGAAACTTTCGTTTCAGGGATGTATTCATAACGGCAGAACGTCATCATCACTACGCTATAAGATAAACTGAATAAATACTTTATTACTTGTCGACGACTGATCTGGTTGGACTTGAAGATAGAAGATCATCTGGATAAAGTAGGAAAGAGGCCGTGACTGCATCTATTAGATACTCTTTCCTCACTGACCTACATATGCAAATATTCCTTGATAAAGTTCTGCCAAATATAACCTCAATGATTGCATGGTGTCGAGCCGACTACCATAGAAGCACACACAGGAATGTAGTACTGTGGAGGCTAGTCACCAACGATGCGGTTAACGCGACAGTGCAGTCAGTATTATCACAGGCATATCTATGACTTCGACGTAAGTCTGTCTTGGGGGCCAAATTAATACACTCCTGCTAGAAACTTGGTGGTAAGAACGGGTATAAGAAGTACAGTAAGGCTTCCTAGACGTTTGCCTTCTGATTATCAAATGACGACTCATAGACTAGACTGAAAGAACATACGGACGACTTTCAGAGAGCAGAATTGAGAAGTGAACGGGATGGAATCGAACAGTACCCAAAACAAAATGATTAGCAGAACATGTTTGTTCCATTTTAAGCCTTTTCATCGAAAACCAAACAAAGCATCTATCAGTTTCCTCAAAGCCAGTGACTATTTTCATTTCAAAATGTCTTGAACGATTTTGTAAATATTAACTACTACACAAAATTCTTTTCGCTTCAGTTGACTGAATTTTAGACACCTCAACATTTCGGTCCTCTCATCCTTGCAGCGCGCCTTCCCAAGAGTAATAAATATATGATCTCGTATGTTTTGGTAAATCAGAGATTATGCACTTGACGTCAGCCTACCTTACAGTTCCATAATGCAGCATTGTTCTTTAACACAATTTCTACTACATGACGTCTAGTGAAAGGTATCACGTGATGCCTTTTTTTCAAGACTATATCTAAAATTAAGTGACCAATATCGAATGCAGTATTTATTTTTTTTCCAAAACGTCATACTATAAAAGCTGGGTGACCAAACCGACTGTCGACCCTCTCGACAGTAGATGAAATTTCTGCTACAGATAAGGAGGAAGTAGAATGCACTATCTAGAATGCATAGCTTGTATGCTAATTTCCAGAATAGGCCGAGTTACATAAAACATTTGCTACATGGAACTTATGGCAGCACTAAATGATTCTCAAGCTGAAACTGATTCGCCTGTTCAACAGGAGGGAGTTCCCCACAGGATGGCAGGAAACGGATCTGCTCTGGGTAGTCAGAATATTGACAGTTTGTCCGGCTGAGTCGTAATGCGACTAGGCGGATGAAGTCCGTCTGTCATTAGGAACATGCAGATTTATGTTCCTGCACAAAACAACCCTCTCACGTTTGAAAATCGCCTTGTAGCTGGGAAGCCAGATTTTTATATTACCATTAACCTTTGTGGGCGAAGCTTGCGGTATTTAAAGAGAGCAAAAC